ATGATAACTTTATGGATATACTAACTGACCATACAAAAAGTACAAGAGTAGAAAATATATAAATTAATGTTGGTCGCGTGAGAAAATTAATGAAATTCCCAACGCTCAAATTCTCATTAATTTGCTGCATAATCGTTGATTATAAGAAGGAGAAATTGATGTAATAAGAAAGAAATTTATCGAAAATTCGTGCTGATTGCCATTAACCATTAGATGTAGGCAACTTAATCATTTTCATTTCATTCATTTTCGTGAGTTTATCGCAACACTAGCAATCTACTGAGATATAAATTAATTGCATTACTTTTTATCCGTCACAGCATAAATTCGTTCGATTAATCATGTCTAAAAAATTTTTTTTTGTTGCTTTAAATTTTAAATCTTACCCGCAACATAGAACCGAAAAAAAGATTCTTGTCTATCCACTTGCCTATCTCCCTTCCCTTCTATAGGTGACAAATATGATCTCATTGATTCATCATCACCAACAGAGTCAGTAGTTGTTACACCTATCACACCACGTCGTCGACGACAACAACAACAACCTTTATCAACGCGACTAACCGAATTAAATGAAGAATTATTACTTGATAATCAGAATAGATAGCCTTTGATCAATTAACATTAAAATATATTAATTAACGATTAACTCTACTTGACATTTAAAAAAATAATATGATAAGAACAAAAAAACCAACATTTATTATTGATTTATAATATTTAAAAATATTATTAAAACAAAAAAACATCAAAATGGAAAAAAAAAATTGTTTAAAAAAATAATTGAAAAAGGAAATAAAATCACTTTTACTACTTACACAAAATTCAATTGAGGCTGATTTATCTAACTGAAGATTTTTATGATTGAGAATCTTTTAAATTCCTTCAAATTTTATGAATTTCGTGATCTAAGTTTTGAATCTTAATGGAAATGCATAGTTGAAAAACATCAGATTCAACAATTTTAACTGTTTAATCGTCAGAGATTTCAAGGATTTTGCTAGTTTTTAAGGTTATCAAATGTCTCAAAAACAATTCATGAGCAAATTTGTCACCTTTAAATTCAAAATTCAGATTATTTGAGTTGTCTTCACAATCTTTGAATCAATTAAATTTCCAAGAAGTTGAATAATCGAATTAAGAACTAGCTTGGTGCAACATTTAGATTATGTCGACATCAAACCAGACCCTTGATGTTATTACTTGCTTTTAAACCAGCCTAGAAAATTTTCAAGTAACATTGATTCATAAAATTGTCAAAGTTGTTCCTCAATTAAGTATGGTTTACTTCTTGCTATTCAAGTTTCAATCTCGTTTAAGTCAATGCTTTCTTAAGAGTTCCATGGCTCTGACAAAGCCTTCAATCAGTTTCTTTTTGACCCCATTCGTTTTATTGAAGACTTCCCTAATTGCACAATTTGGGTATTCGATCAGAAATCTAGCTACAAGCTAGCCCGAATTGCACAAGTCGGATAATCGTTCATTAATCCAGCATCAAGCTGTTGTGATTCTGGCATGGTGCTGGATTTAAATCAAAACAGAACCATGTTAGAGTCATTCTGACTTGACATCAGATTTCTATTCGATTAACCGACTTATGCCATTCGGGTAGTGTGATTCGGGATTTAAATTGAATATTTTCTATAACAAAGTAATATAAGTCCTCTATTTCCTGAATAACATCTTAAAACTTAATCCTACTATTCAATTAGACACTTAGATTAGCATATCTCTAACCTTTCAATCTTATAAATTTTCTTCATAAAATTCCTAACCTTTGAAACTTTCAAACTATGCAACTATCGCATTAGACGACAAAAAACATGCATAATCTCTTCTCTTAAACTAACAAACTTGCAACTTGTTGATCCGATGGTCATAACACTCATGTATATCCATTATGCTTCAACAATTTTTCTTCTCAAGTCCATAAAACATTATCAAATGTGGCAAAATGTTTTTCTAGTTAATCTCCATAGTTTTTAACACAAGACAGATCTTCTATGTTATCGTATTGAAGACATCCTTGAAGCTAGATAATAAATTCCTCGACGTTAAGTGAAACGAAATGAAAAATAAATTTCAAAATAATTTTTTTAGCTCAATGAAAATCAACAGAATGGAATAGAATGAAATTCCCAATGCTGTGAATTATGGAAGCTTCTATTTTTTCTCAACTATCTTTTTCCTCTATCTCTGAAGTATCTCAATTTTTCAATTTATTTTCCTTTTTTCCTCATTTAATTTTCTTGTTGTTTCTTTTTTTTTTGAGGAAGAAAAGTTCAAGCTAAGGAATGAAATGAGCATCAGTTGGAATTGAATTCCTCATAAAATTTTTGTTTCAACTTAACTTTAAAAACTTTTTTATTAATATTGCTAGATCAAAACTAGTCCAACTAGTTCCTATTTGTTGACATAATAATATTTCAATTAATAATTTTCTTGTGTGCGCATTGTGTGTGGCTTTTTTGACTCTATTTTAATTATCTTTTCATTTCCTATCTTTTCTTATTGTGTATTTATGACTGAATTAGCAGACTTTTTATTGTGAAATTGTTTTTTGTTTGAATCAAAATTGCTTGTTCTTTAAACTTTATGTGCTTAGAACTATTTGACGTGGTACGAAATTTTTATGGTGATCTAAAAGACAATGACTTGAGAACACAAGGTTTTGCTAACTCAAGATGTTAAGGTGTAGTCAAAGATTTAAAAAATATTCTTTCAAACTCTATAGGAACTTCATATTCGATCAACACTTAACAACTACTGGATTTGCTAGCATGCTGTCAATGATTTCATACTGTCACCTATTCCTTTCAATCATTATTGAACATGTCATCCTATCATCTTGTGAATAAAAAACATGATGATTGAGTTTTTAAGATAATTTATTCATTTGTGTTCATATCAAAGTTTGGAGTAGACTCAGATTTAGTAAACTAAAGTCGATTAAACTTTATACAAAATTCGAGATAACTTCGAGTTCTGATTAAAGCTTTAGCAATTGAAAACAAAGCAGTGCTATTCTTTCTGGCTAATTCTTACTATACATAATCTTCATAGGTTCGTTCTTAGTTCATATGATCGATTCTTTAATCATAGAATTGATTTAATCGTTTGAACAATTGAGCAAAGGAAACAGAATTCTTAAATTAATCAATAATGGTCAAATCGTGACTTATCAGTTCTAAAATATCAAACAGAACCTTAAATGATTATTGCACTTAGTGAATTCAACTTTAAATTCAGTATGTAATAGACAATCTGGTCCATAGACTATTGATAATTCAATCATTCAACTTCAATCTCTGTTTGTTTCATCATTGACTCAATTGTTAAAATTCAAAACAATTCAATTGTCAGAAGCTCAAAGTCTTCTAAATCAACCATAAAAATTCTGTACCCAACCAGACTTGTAATCATAATTAGTTTGACTTATACGACTTGATTATAATACTCTTAGACCTAATAATAATAATCCTTAAGTTATTTCTGTTCATTAATCTTAATTGTTACTGAATATTCATCAATTGTTATTGTCTTCTGTTTACTTTAAGATCTTTAATGTTTTCATTAAACAATTTCTTTCTTAGTGTGTATTTTTTTCCGTGTTAAAGTTCAATTAGTATTTCCATAATTAATTTTCTTGTTGTTGATTAATTGATTTTTTGTACAAATTCATTATTTTTAAAATAATGAGAGGATTTTATGTTGATTTTTTTCTTTGGATTTGGAGTGTATCCACTGAAGGGAATAGAAATTGGAACTTTAGCTATGAATTTTGTTGGCTAAAGTTGGTTTCAAAGTTACTAAAATCTTAAAACATGAACTTATTTTATTTAATGAATGATCTTTAAGTTAAAGATTGATCAATATTTAAGGATTAATACGTTTCGAAAGACGTATGTCTTCTTGAACGAATGAATCTTAGCTTTGGCTTTATTAAGCTTCGATACTTAGTTTAACTTTGTTTCTAATCTAATCGAATTAAGAAATCTCAGTTTTCTATCAATTGTCTGCAAATTTTTGACTTCTGCTCCAATTCAACATTCAAAACAAACTTGATTAGATCAAATTGATCTCAAAATCTATCCTAAACCTGAAAAGTGTGTAAAAGCAATACAGAAAGCTTTAATTAATTTTCAAAGGATTGTCTTAAAATCTTAAAATTAATTTCAATTAAAGTTAATTTTACACATTATTTCCCGCCATAAAACAAAAAACAACTCTTTTAAAAAGTTCGCACATGCAGCACTGCAGTTTCCAGTAAATAATAACAACATTAATTAATGCAATTAATGTAGTTTCCTGTACAAAAATTCTTCATGCTTAATTCAATGATTTCAAGCTACTTTTCGCACATTAATCCATTCAGTGTATACACTTGGGTATCAATAAATTTAATGGTGATGAGTTCGGTATCGGGTGGCTGTAAACAACAACAACAACAACAATTAACTTTGGCATAATTAACATTGATTTATTTATTTTTTTCATCAATCTGACTTTGTTTAACCTAATTTAACTTAATTAATTAACATCCACAATGCACAACAAAAAAAAAACAGAATAAAGACAATTTTTTGCAACTTTTTTTTAATAATTTAATTAATTTTTTTTTTCTCTTTTTTTTGCAAACTTTTTGTTTATCGACTGCCGTTTTGATTTTTCCTTACTGACACGAACATCCACACAAATTTGTTTTTGTATAAATTTTTAAATAAAACTTGCGATTTGGCCTCTCACAAAAAATATGCAATTTTTTATCGATTATTTTTTAAAACACACAAATAAAAATGCGTGAAATTCTTAATTTTTTTTGGTGTGATAATTTTTTTTAATGATTGTCAATCGTTTGATTTCTTGATGGGAAACTGAAAAAAAAAATATTTTTAACCCCCCATGATAAAAAAATTCCCCCCCAAAATTTTGTCTCTATTGAAATTATAAAAAAAAAAAAACAAATTAAATTAATTAAACACACAATTCACAAAAAATTGGCATCGATACTGACTCACGCGCGTTACGGGGTTTGTCGATGTCCTCGGGTGCAGGACATAACTTATCGCAAGGCGACTTGGAGTCTGATGGTGATTCGGAGAAAAATCCTGCAAATACTGGAACTGGATGTTATAAGAATTATGATCATTTTCCACTGCACCATCGGAGGAGCAATTCATCAAATCAAGTAGATTTCAAATTTTTTAAATTTTCTTTCATTTTGACAAATTATTCTAATGAATTTTCACTTTTCATTGCCAGCCATCGTCAATGCCTGAACCTGACAACCAGCCTTCCTACAGTCCTGTACCACAACGTCGCGAGTGGAGCGAGGAATCAAATCAAGATGATATTAATAATGATAATGAGCAATTAATAGATGAGGATGCAGCCGAGAATCAGCAGCTTCAGCACGAGAAATATATGAGAGCAACGAAAGCCGTAAGTATGAATGATTTTTGATTATTATTTTTCTCACTTTTTAAGTCATTGAAAGCAGAACCAAAAAAACAATCAAACCATTTTCCTTTCAAATCTAATTGTTTTGATTCTTTCTATCGCTGTCTATCATAAATTTCTCTTGACATTTTTATGAGTTGACTCTTCTTTTTTATTTTCGTCGTTCCTTTATCGTTTTGTTTGTGTTCTTTTCGTTTTTTTTTATGTGACACAAGAAGAAAAGATAGTAATTTTAATAGTTATGAGTATAAGGATATCGAAATTTTCAAAGCTTGAAGTTGACTTGAATCGAAAAGAATCGGTTTGATGGATTTTACTTGAAATTAGTTCTAAGAATCTCAAGAAATTAAAGGAAGCTCTTATCATGGTATTTGGTTGTTCATGATTATGGATTTAGGAATATTTGTATGATTAATCCTGCCATCATCAATTCAAATGAGCCAACTTTAAGTCGAAACATAACCGATAAATTTATCTTTAAATCGACTAGATTCAACCAATCGAATATTTTCAAACTCGAGCTTTGAATTTGTGGAAATCATCATAATTATTACTAGATAGACACAAACTCAGCAAATGCAAAGAACTATCTTTACTTCTATCGTTCAATAAGTTAATATTTCATGTTCCTTGATCGTTTTTGAGATGTACATTTTCAGATGATCAATAGGCAGTTCTAGAGAGTTTATCGTTAGAGCTCGGACCAAGGAGAAATCAACATGATTAGAGTTTTCAATCCCGGGATAGAAACGTATGGAATTCCAGGATTAAACACTGGATTCAATACATTTTAATCCTAGGTTTGAAAACCCTTAGCATGATGGATAAAATATTGATCAGAAATTTTTTACCATTTTTCAAATCAATTTTGTTCAAAGTGTTGCAGGGAAATGATAGAAAATTGTTTCCCATCATGTTGATTTCCTCTTGATCTAAAGAAATTTATTAAGTTAGATTAAAAATCTCAAAAACAATTTAAAACCAAGGATACGGAACTGATGAATTAGATTTTGATAAATTTTGATCAATTTTGATTATTTTTGATCATTTTCTGATCATTTTTGAACATTTTTGATTATTTTTGAACATTTCATCAGTTCCGTACCCTTGTTTAAAACCTTGATTAGTTTCACAAAATTTCAAATCACTAATTGGCATAAAAACTGTCAATATCTTGCAAAAATTTAATTTATGATTTTAAAAAAGTTCACTTTTCATTTTCAATAGTTTTTCTTTGGAATTTGATGTGGATTTGGTAATGACTCATCTCCCAAGTCCACTGAAGAATCTTATGCTTCATTTATTTTTCGTTCCTTAAAACATAGTTTTCTCTTTGTACTGTGGTATATCATTACTGTTATTGTTTGTTCTCTAATTTATAATTTCTGTAGTATTTCCATCAACAATCATGGAGTAAAGAGGTAGTGAAACAAAAAAAGATCAAGAATGAATCTGATTTTAATTTTTCTTTGAAATTCTAAAAAAATATATTTTTTTTGCACAATTTTATTTATTTTGAAATATTTTGATGGATCCAAGGGATAAGTTTTGGGATGGGTTTTGAAAAATTTAAGTTTTCTGATAGTGAAGATTAGATCGAATTAAATATAAGAAGTACCAACTAAGCTTGTGTGGGTTTAAACAGTTGGAACTTTACCTCGATCGGTTGCGACCAAGGAGAAACATTTGTAGCTATACTCGGGGTCCTCGATTTGAGTAGATGTTTTGTTCCAGAAAAATCTTATTCAAATCGAATCTACTCAAATCGAGGACCCATAGTATATGCACTTCATAGGGTAACTTAGAAAAGTTTAAAAGAAAACAGTATTAGATGACATGATAATGAAATGAATTTTTTAAAATTAAAATTCAACATCAGTCATCAAAATACTTAAATTATACTGTATAGAGTATTTCTCACAAATTTTCAAGGAAAATGAGCAATCAATTTTACGACTGATCATAAAATTAGTTATAACTTTTAATTTGTATTTAAACAAATGTGAATGGCTGTTAATTCGATAATATTTTAAGAAGTAGGAGCGATAAAATTAATTATAACTTTTAAGTGTGAAAAGGAATTAGATAGACTTTATGATGAACAAATTTGATTGTTAAAGAATTTATTATTTTGAAATTAAATCAAAGAGACTTAGCTTTTTTTTAAAAAACCATTTTTGGTATTCACAAAGAAGCAACTTAACCCCTTGGATCCAGAAATCAAATTTTAAGAAAAATTCTAATTTTATTTGATTTTCTTTTATAAATTTAATAAATTATTTTTGTAATTTTTTTTAACAATTTTTCAAAGTGCAATAATGAAGACTGATTTTACAATTTAATGATTCTTAATTATTAAGGGTTATTTGTATATTATATAACGTTAACGCTGAAATTCTAAATTTTTTCAGATTGCTGTTTTAAAATTTTCTAAATCCCTTGCAAAAGTTTATTGCATTAAAGTGGGGTAAAAAGCCTTGAAAAAGCTGCAATCGACTCAAACGATTAAAATCTTTAAAACTGTTTAAAAAAATTGATTTAAAATTTGTAAAATTACATTCAATTCATTATTGCACTTTAAAATGCATGCAACGGTTAGTTTTCTCTAAAACAATAGATTTCCTTAAATGAGGAATAAACATTCTTGAATATATTGCACTCGGATTTTAATATTCCATCTGAAGAGCTGTTAGCTCAGGAAAATATGTATGTTGAGTGCTAATTACACTTCAGAAGTCATTAAAAAGTCAACTAGCTTGATGAGCTTGATTTCATAAAAAACTATTGTTTTGCAATTCAGTTTAAAACAACAACCATTACAGAAATTAAAAAGATTCCTAATGCTATTTGATTGCTTTAACAATCATTGAAGACTCAAACTCTTAGAGATTAAATTCAATTTTTAATTCAATATTCGCTGTTATCTGAAGCGAAATCAACTCTAAATTCAAACGCAAATAGTTTCTGCTGTTAATAAAATTTGCAAATTTCAAAAGCATTTCCAATCTGTTAAATACGAATGCACAGTTCAAAATACTTTCAGATTTTTTTTATTCACTTTATGCAAACAATTTTATGTACTTTCAAATGCTTTGTTGATTTTTCAAATGTATACATTCATGCTTTTTTGATTGCATTTGATGGGGGAGATACAAAATTGCTATGCAGGTATCTTGCGCAGTTATGTTGTGTTTCTGCTTCAATCCTCACATTTTTGATAATTACAAGGGATAGGTTCTAGGGCTTAGCACATTAAAAATCAACCTAGTCTATTCCTAAATGATGTTTAATGCATTTCAAATATTTTCATAATTTTTAAATTTAAAGCACATCCCCGTTCCTTCAAAATTCCTTTACAAAGCATGAACAAACATAAAAGTCATTCCAGAATGTGTAAACAACATTGCAAATAAAAAGGTCAAAACATCAAAGCTGCTTTACATCAAAAAAGAAGAATTTCAAACGATTAAGAGTTGAAATAGCAAAAAAAGAATCCCTTAGAGTTGTGAACTTTCTCTATTGTTGCTATCTTCAAGTCAAATATACAATTAAACTTGTTTTTCTGTAGCTCGAATGCAGGAACAGAGAGCAAAAAGTTCATTGTGGATAATTCAAATGCATTTTTCATTTAAACGTGTGAAAATAACAGCACAAAAAAAGTAAAACTTTAACCCCGATTATAAGCTGATATAAATGAGGGGTGAAGGAAGTGAGCTGCGATGAACATCACACAATATTCATTGTCAGAAAAAAAAACAGTAACTGAAAATAAATTGCATGTTGCATGACTTTTTCTGATAAATCAAAAAGAGAGCAAAAACATGGGAAGCAGGAAAAAGTTTTTCTTGCTGTTTCTCTTCTTATGGCATGCGGAGTCGACCGAACTTAATTTTTCTTATTCTTTCGTTGTTGTTGTGAAATGCTTTTGTTAAATTCAATTCTTACAATTCTTATCGTTTTGTCTTTTTCACCTCGTTTGGGATTTACAAAAACTTTTTTTTGAGCGCATTTTTCTGTCTGTTTTGAGGATATTTTATATTGACTATAGATAAAGTGTTGATGTGGATTTTAATCGTGAACATTGCATCACTTAGTAAGGAATCATAAGAGAAAAAGACCCGAACTTTTAAGAATGTAAGCTAGTAGCTAATTCAATCTATTAAATTCGACTAGAACTTTTTTAGAAAGCCACCAAAGCATGGCATCTGTTTGATGAATTTTCGATCTGTCGCTATGAACCATATATACCTGCCAAGTGATCCTAGTCTCAATCAGATTGTACGTAATAATGCTGTTAAGCTACTCAAACTTTTGTTTTAACCTCAAATTAAAGATCTTCTAGGTTTTAAAGATGCAAGACAGATGTGTGTGCCCACGGGTAGCTCTAAAAACCAGCCTAGCTATCAAATGTCATCAATTTTCAAAATCAACAGAAAAATGCGCTCAAATTCTTTTTATTACAAAGAGAAATTTCTGTAATTTTTTTCTATACTATTTTCTCGATTTTCCGTTTCTTATTTTACTTCTAATACAAAAAAAGCTTTCCTTATTCTTTACTTTTTCTATTCCTTTTACTTAATTTTCTTACAAATTAATTCACTCGAATGTTTACAGTGTCTTAACGTAAAATCCATTTCTTTTCCCATCTTCTTCTCTTTTTCTCACATCTTGAATTCTCATAAAATAGGAAGTCGAAGAGCTAAGAAGACAAATAGCCATGGAAAATCAGCTTAAAGATCCAAAAGCACCGACGCGAGTAAAAACAGAAATCGAGATGCCATCTGAATACGAATGTTGTTTCTGCTCGACGGACGTAAGTTTGACTTTTAATTATTGATGAATTTTCTTGATTTAAAAAAAATCTAATTAAACTTCCTTTTTGGCTTTTACTCATTTTAAAAAATCTTTTGATTCTTTCTTAATATCCTTGCAACTTCTTTTACGGTTGTTCATAAATGATGTTCTGTCGCATTTGGGATTCTTCTATATCATTTATGAACGACCCTCTTTTTTATTTTCATTCCTAATTCCTAATCTATTTCTCTTATTATTCTCTTTGTAAATCTATTGACTTGAAGTGCAAATTAGTAGAAAATTAGAAATCACAAGTAATTTTTATTGACTAATTAGGATTAAAATTGTTGAATGTGATTATGAGTTTTATAAACTTTAGTTTCAACTTGTTTTTAAATGGATCGTAGATAGAAATTTAAATATGAATGCAATTTTTTCACAGTTTATTGGTTGGAAATTGATTTTGAATTTTTCAAGATTTGAAAGATGGTTTTTTGGATGAAATTAAACTTTAACTCAAATGAAATTCTTAATTCAAAATTAGATTCGTTTGAACTTTTAAGAAAACTTTTAAGAATCAAAATTTTGTTTGATTTTTTTTAATTTAACAGGATTTTTTGAAGATTTCAACTTGAAAAAGCTTTGAAAAATGTTTCGAATATGATTAATTAGATGATTGATCAGTTTTGGATCAATTTTATATTCTTGAGTAAAACATTAAAAATGTTCATTTTTAAGAAATTACAATTGGATTTATAAAGCTAAAGTTAATGTTAATTACATTCGAAAACCCATTCGACAAATCTTGAAATTTTTCATTTAAATCGTTTATTAGAATCAGCACTAATTGGATGATTAGGATATCCTCGTATAGTATTTTTTGATTTATATTAAATTAATTAAGTAGAATTTAATATTAAACCTTCACTAAATGTTGCACAATATTCCAAATTTTCATCTTTAAAAAATCAAAAATTTTAGTTCTTGTAAAGTTCAAATTGACTTTTTAAATATTTCAATAAAAAACTTTATCAATTGAATCTATTAAGTCATCAAAAATATATTTTATTAATCAAAGATTTGAAATCTCTGAAAACTTTTCATTTAATTATCATTATAAAATTTTCATGTCAACATAACTATTCAAATCAGATTTAATTTCACCATTTTTTCAATCTCATCAAAAATTCTTCCATAACTATCAAAACTTATAAAAGATAAAAATCCATTCAAACTAATTAAAATCTCTTCTCACTTTTATGTCATCTCACATTACAATTATAATAATCTTAAATGATGACTCTCGACTGGAAATTCTTGAAATTTCCATCTTCCATGTTTTGCTTGATTAAAAAACTTTTTTTTCTTGTTTTTACGATAATATATTTTTCAATTCTATCTAATTGTGCTCTTATAAAAGAGAATAATGCAAGAATGAAATCATGGAAAAGTTTCAATTCACAGTCACATGTTGAGTATTAATTGTAATTACACGATAAAGGAATAAGATGTTGCGCAATTGTCCAGAGTTGTTATTATAACTTGTTAACGAAGTTTCTGGGATGAATTCGAAATTATTATTGAAGAATTTGGATTTTTTTTTGATTTTGAAATTGAAGCTAATCGAAAATTGTTGAATGATGAAACGTGTGAACTTGGTTAAATGACGTCCATTAATAGGCCTAGAATGAGAAAAGGTTGCAAATTAAAAGAATGCAGACTTAATTGAATCACTTTTGACAACTTTTGGATCCTTTTTTGATTCCTTTTGACAATTTTTTATCATTTTCAATCATTTTTATTAATTCCATCCTCTTGGTAAACTGTCAAAAGGTTGTTTTCAATGTTAAACGTCATTGTAGCTCTATCTGCGAAACTTTAAAGCTCATATCCATTAGTGGAGCTTCCTTAAGTCAACATCTAGAAAGATCATGCCAAGTTTGATTCATATTATTAAAAATTGAGACTTTGGAGTGTTCGAATAAATTTTTAAGTTGAATAATTGTTCAAATATGCAGAACGTGCCAAATATCGTGTCTTCCCGACATCTTAACATTCAACAACTCTGGAAACGACAAAGAGAATTTTTTAAGATATATTTTTCAGTTCTTCTTTTCAATTTAATTCTTCTTTATTATCATTTCTATGCTTTCATTTCTTTCCTTTTTCCATTTCAATCTCAATCTACCTTTCAGTTCCTCATTGTTGTATCATTTAAAAATATAATTAACTATTTCAATTACAATAATTTAAATTTCTAATTATTTGTCTATTTATTCTCATTTTAATTAAACTTTAATTATATACTTTGATATAATTTAGGCCATAGGTGATTTGGAGCATCAAAGATCGCATAGCGTTTAATTAATTCCGTTGTCAATTGAAAAAATGAAAGTCAAATTAGAGATACGATAATGAATTTTTTATACTTTATGCTTCTTATGAGTTCCAAAAATTCCGAAATTCTAACGTCACGTAAACCTAAATGAATACTTATATGATTGGTTATATGATTGCCAACAAGGTGAGTCGTCCTGCAAAGACAATTAATTAAGTTTCGTGATAATGCAAAAAAAATAAAGCAAAACTGAACTTTATCTAAAACTTACACACTTTTTCATCCTTTTTGTTTACCTTACAATGCAGTCATAACTGTCTTTTTGTTTGAATTTTGATTTTATTTAAACCTTTTTTTGTGCTGTTTTGTGTTTTTGTTAATAACCAGTGGGGATAAAGGGATCGTCAGGTATTTACTAATATTATCATGTAAGTTCAGTGGTAAAACCAGAATTTTTTAAAAGGGATCCAAAAATTTTTAACAACAAGAAGGTCTGAGGTAGGAATGAAGGTCCGAACTCTTATACCATAAATTAGTGTTGTCCAAAATTTTTGAACCACTGCACACTTTTGGGAATAAGCCATGACCGAAGTCGGACACACCATGTGGCTCGTGTCATTTTCAAAAAAAATCTACGACACACTACTGTGCCGCGGCACACAGTTTAGACAGCACTGTCATAGACTATACTCCTGCTAGCAAAGCATATTACGATAAGATAGAGCTAGATAATCATGGTCAAAGCATGTAAAATTTTCAACAATCGACAAAACCTTGGTCAAATAAATCATAACCTTAACTACTCAACAAATTGTTGTCTGAAACGGACGTGTCTTAAGCTTGTGAAATTCTCACAATTTCTAACCACAAAATCCACCCAAAATAAACATCATGAAGCCTTCATAATAATGCCATATTACCAATATTAAATCATATTAGAATTGACAGTAAAATTGACAGAACATGAACACATATTTCAGTTCCTAAGTGGCAGGTTTCATCAAAAATTCACCACGCTACACATAAATTTAATTTTATAGATTTCAAAAAATTATTTTCTTCTGATTTATTTCAAAAATCCCAAAAGAGGAAATCAAATAATTAGCATCGAGTTCCTTTTTCTGGAGATGATGCTGAAATTCCTTTTTGCTTCTTTCGATAGAAAGCGTCGAAGCGTAATTACTGACGTTTCTATAATCATCACATCAAGCTTTGCTATGTGCTAAGCCTCTCTAGTTTTCCGACATAATAAATTATTTTCTTGTTCTTTTGGTATGTGATCATGGATGAAAGGATTAGATAAGTTCTAGAAAGAAAAGCAGAGAAATTTGTGGTCTTACATGTTAGGTCTTTATTTGTTACGGATGTTCGATTTATGTAAGACTGTGGTAGGGTCAAGTGGAGCTTAGTTATCAACACTGAGTTCAATCACTCGATTTAAAACTTCCAAAAGCATTCAAACAATCATCATTCTTCCTTTATTTTCATTTTCATTATCTAAAGTCAATCAATTTTCCTTCTTTTCCTTTAAAACCTTTACGAACAAAACTGTTTTTTCGTCATTTAATGTTTATTTGTTTGATGACCATGATGATAAATTTCACCCAATATACACACACACATACACATGTCCATAAACACATTTCAATTATGTTATGTATAAAAATAGTAAGTTTAAGACAAACTTAACAGAAAACAAAAAGAAGTCTTTTATCAAATCATAAAATGCACTCAAGGAAATTCAACAAACACGCAAAAGCACATAAAATAAGGAGAAAAAAAATTCTCATTAGCTAAATTTATTTTCATTTCTGCTCATTTTCATTCACTTTAACTTTTATGATTATCAACATGTATTTATATAAGTCAATGTGGATAGTTGAACATAAAAAATTGTATTTTATATGAATTGTTTGTTTTCGTACCCGAGGCTTAAGGCTTTAATATGGAACTGTCCATACCCAAATGGCACAAGTCCGTTAATCGACTGGAATAAAGATGAGAATGGATTTAAATCGAAACCAGAGTCTTACCAGCTTGGCGCCGAATTTATATTCATTTAACCGACTTTTGCTATTAGGGATATTGACTTTTTACTCTGTGATTGGCAAGGGAGTCTGAATTGAGCCTATATAGCTCGAGGTACTAATATGAACGGACATAGAAGAAGTATTTCGCATGAAAGGGTCGAAAAGTTTTATAACTTTAATTCATAACTCAGGACAGAGGCTGCTTGTTTGGCTAGGCATAAAATAAACTGAAGTAAGATTAAAACTAGCTGTAGTCATGCTTAAACTCTGACAATCAATCAACAAACTTGGTTTTCGTATCTATTTTCTTTGAGGATTTTAGTTCGAATCCTTTATCGATTCATAAAATTAATAAACTATCCAAAATTCACTGAATTGCAATTTTAATCACATTAGATAACCCATAAAATCCCTATAGCCTATAGACGACCTTATATTGGCCCCATGACTACATCCTTGACAAAAAGTATCCAAAAATACAAAATACTGACCATACTCATCTAATGAATAAGCACCAAAAACATAAAACTTAAACTATTAGCGAATCAGACAGTAAAATCGACAAGGCTTCCAACAAAATTTCCATAAAGCTTCATATCAGAAGGAAATTTTATGTCAAAACTCTTGGCATATGAACAACAGAAAGTAACG